GAAAATATGCAAGATTTTTTAGCACAAAGCAATTAAATGCTTGAAGAATTGGCGATTAAAAGACAAACGTCAAATAAATGCATGAGAAGTTAATATATATGTTCATTAATGATGAACGAGGTTCAAAGGGGAAAATCAAATGCGAAATTACAAAAAAAAAAGGTGTCATATGTCTTAATTACAGTCCACCCCACACTGAACGAATTCGCTCCCTAAGTTTTTCCCAATCCTCGTTCTGCCGAGAGGAAGTGATGTTCAATTCGGCCACGACATCATCATCAACTTCTAGCTTCTTGTACTGCTCAACCAAGGACTTAGTTCGCTCAATTCCTGGGAGGCGTTGTGCTTTTTAGCAGCCATTCTCGCCTTGCAGTCGTCCATTTTGGCTTGAAGTTCCTTCATTTGAGCAGCCAAATTAACCATCAAAGAGTCTTCAATCATGATTTCGGAAGAGATTTCTTTCAACTAGTCCTCAGCCTTGTTGATCTCCAGACGCAAAGACTCTTTCTCAGATACGGCTCGAAGATATTGAGTACTTTTGGCTTTTAGTTCAGCATTGTTGGCCAGCAAGGAGAGGACCTCGGAGTGGATAACTTTCAACGTCGCTTTAAAATCGGCAGAAAGATTGAGCGACGGAAGTGTCAGTGCTTGCTCCAACTTCGCATTCAAATGCTCAAGTTTATCCTTGTGTCTGGCAGCACTAGCCCTACCAATGTCCATATCCATGAAGGACACATACTCAAATATCGACTGCTTGAGGAACTTCAAATCTTCCTCTGAAAAAGCAGCAGGACGATCAGATGGAGCAGGGCGAGATGTCTTGACTTGCTCCTAGGAAGCGAACAAGTCTTGGATAGAACGCACAATCTTGTCAGCATCCTGCAAAGAAAATTGCCAATATTGAAGATTCTCACTACAACAAACAAGATGGAAATAAAAGTGAAGCAAAGATTATCTCATCAACAATCGTGGAAGATGGCATATCCTCAGCCAAGTTTGCCACCTGTGACTCCTCCATTCGTGAGGACTTCCCCTTGTCTGAGCGAGAAGATGTTGCCACAACAGGCAGACTCATAGGAGTATTTGCAGAACTCAAGAGCAACAAATCAAAAACCAATAGCACAAGCAAAGGTAAGGCATCAAAAAACTGAATTACCTTCTGCTTCAATGTTTGGGGGGTTGATGCCCTGGGAAGAAGGTGGCTCATCCATGGGTTGTGATGAGGATTCTGGGACTGAAGATGTCTCTTTAAGCGTGGTCCTCATCAACCGGTTTGGATGAAGCAGCCTCAGCGGAGGATGATGGAGTAGGAGCTGTCAATGCCAAAGCTTTTAAAGAGGCTGAACTTTTCTGAGAAGTCCAAATAAATCATCAGCACACAGAAAAGTTTTAAGTATGAAAGGTATGCTTGTGAATGGGAGATCATCCTCCTGATGATAAGAGGGGTATCATCAACATCATCCTCCAGAATGGGAGATGCTGAGGCTGGCCGTTTGCGGCTTGGGGCACTCTTGGCTGTAGTAGGCTGGCAGGGAGAGAAGAGGATGGACGAGCAGACTGTTTAGCGCGACGAGGTGGAGAAGGACTCCGAATGGACAAAGGAGTGACTAAAACAGGAGGAGGAGAAGAAATGCTCGATTGGTCCAGTGAATGAAAGGCACGATTGGCATCAGTCGCAAATAATCTGCGCTTCATTGACGGTCAAAGCTGTTCAAAAGGGGGATGGACGGCATGCCTAGAATTGAAGGGGGCTAACGAAAAATAGCTTGTTAAAAGAAGATTGCGAGCATTTATAACCTCTGCCTCCGCCTTATTAACAATATGGAAGCGGTCAATCAAGTTCCTTGAATAGCAATGAGGAACAGGCCAAGTTTGGCCAAAACCAAGTTGGCGAGCAAAAAATTGGGGAGCATAAATTTCTACCCCTGCCTTGGCATTGGTCCCAGTTAAGATATCATCAAAAAACTCCCTCCCGACTAAAAACTGGATCCAAATAAGCAGAGAGGTGCTCACGCTATCTATAGTGGAGGGGGGATGTACATAGTTTGGAGTCAAAAAAAGAGGAAAAGGAAAAAAGGAAGGGATTGAATCCAAAGAATAAAAGAATGAAAAAATGTCCCTTCTAGACATATTTACAGGAGCCAAATGCTTAATGGCTAGCCCATAGCATCTAGCAGAGGAGCGAGAAATTGATGGAGCACTAAGCAATGGAAAATAGGATCTCAACCACAGTTAAGTGAACCAAAGAGGTCCACTACCAGTGGGAGATGCACCATTCTTCAATTCAGTTTGAAGAGAAGTCATGCCTCTATAAAGGGCAGCCAAAAAGAAAGAACATAAATTCAAAGGCCTGCCACGCGCTAATTCGTGCGCTATGGGTAAATAACTCAGGGAGGGCTTTATGCTTGGCACACACAAAACATATTTACAAAGCCAAACTAGAAGAAAAGCCACTCGCTCAGTATGGAAAGTCTCAGCGCTCAAATGATTGTGAAGGGTTTGCAGGCTTGAATAAGACTCGGTGTAGTTTTTACCAAACTTTGGGGCGCCACCAGAAACCAAGATACCAGGAAAAATGGTATCGCTCAAAGGTGGTAGATTCACTAGGGCTCCAACATCCCTTAAAGTAATAGACATGGGGCCAAGAGGGAAAATAAAGGTATTATACTTGGAAGACCAAAAACTCAAAGCAATCGAAAAAAGTGCTGAATCAAAAGTAGGGGGGCGAATAGAGATTTCTAACAAATCAGAAATCCTAGCATTATCAAAAAGTGCCTTAGTAGGACCATGGCCCACAAGATGAGCATGCCACCTACGGAAAGCTACATCAGATTTAGGCCAAGTGCGAATACCTCTTTCGCGAAGTGGCCCCAACGACAGAAAGTTTAGAAATGGAGGGCCTTGAGTACAAGGAAACAGCTGGCCCACCGCCTCCTGTTCGACTGTCTCTACATTGTTGAAGAAAGGACCTAGGTAGAACTCATTGAGTTCGACATTGGCGGGCGCGAGAAAACTAGAAGTTATGTATGGACGACTCAGAAGTTTCTGAAAGTCATCAAAACGAAAGGAGTCACCTGCTTGAAATTGCGAAGTGGCCATTAGGGATGAAACGGAGTTTTTTCAGAGTTACGTAGCAGGGAAGTAAAAGATGAACAGTAAATCGTGGGAGAGACGTGAAAAGGTGAGGCGTGATAATGGTGCAGTGAAATGGCGTGTTTGGGAGTTATAAGGGTTTGCAAAACGTCGCACCTTTTCAAGATATGGAAGAAAACAATGATTGAAATTCTTGGGAATTTCGAATGTTGCTGGAAACACAAAGTGAATATGACAAAATTTAATAATTGGTATTAATTCTGCCATATTGGGGGGTAATTGTTGACACATAAAAATTCAGCCCAAATCGAACGGCCCAAGGAATGAAGCCCAATTGGAGGATCCCCAAATCAGATAGCCTAAAGAGCGAAGCCCAATCAAACAATTCAAGATGAAGGCCCAAGAACGCGGTAACGCCATCGCCCAAGTTTGCAAGTCGTCCAGAATCTGAGCGAATGGAGTGCCATGCAGTCGCCCAGAGCTGTTACTCTATTCTCGCCCAAACCTTCAAGTCGCCCAAGGTCTTAGCAAACATAAAGTGTTGTGGTTATCAAGAAATGCAGTTATCAAAACAGTTATTAAAGCAGCCCTATCACGTTCCACGATTCAAGGAATTCAATCGAAAATGGTTGAACGACGAAGAGTAATGGCAGCAGTTAAAAAAGGCAGTTTCATGACAAGTTGGCCATTACGAGGAAAGTGGGCAGTTGTAGAACGATCAAGCAGTTTTTAGGCGGTTGCTCACAAAGAGATCATCCATGAAGTATAAAAGGGAGAAAAGACATAGAGCAAAGGACCGAATAAAAAACTTTCGAACAGAGAACATGTAATTTTAAAATCGTTAGCTTAGATTTAAACACTTTTTTCAGTAACTCGTGTGCTTGCACCCCTTAGAGACATTTTGTTTTTAATTTCCAATTGTAAAGTCATCGCCAATAAAAGAACACCCCTTTTTGGGACTTTGTCTCAAGAGGGCTATCCCTTACACAATCGTCTGATCCCTTTTAATTGTTAGCGACTAACCCGCGCGAAACACACTTAAATCACTTGGTGGTAATACTTTCTTCCTATTTTCATGTGCATATGATATTTTTGGTTCTTTAACTTTGTTATTGCTTATATATTCTTTCCATTAAGGTTCGAGATATATAGTTGGGTTCTTGTTTGTTGGCAATTCAAGAAATACTGTGAGTTTTCCATTTATTTTTTTTCCCTTTTTTCCATTTTCATATGAATTGTGCAATTTTTAAGTTCTTCCATTTTTTTTATTTGTAACGTATTTTTCCATATATATATATATATATAAATCAGATTTTTATTAAAATTTATTTATGATTTAATTAATTAAATATTTTTATGTCAGAGATCTATTCAATTTGGTAACAAATTATCGAATTTAGTTATTCACTTATTTTCTTTAATTTCAAATTAGAAATTTTATGTCACAAATTATTTTACAATCTCAATTCAAAAAATTTATTGGTCATAGTTTGTTCATCAATCACAAATAAAAAAAAAAAAGTATAAGTCACGATTTATTTATTGGTCACAAATTACAAATATTATAAGTCACAACTTATTAAACAATTTTAAATTATCAAATTATTGGTCACAGATTAACAAATTTTTAAGTCACACATTATTTCTTGGTCACAATTTATCTTTTTTATTGGTCACATATTCTTTATTGGTCACAAATTAACCAATTTAATGGTCACGGTCAACCAAATCATTTGTGACCACAACCAACACTTGTGACCACCACCTCAATTTCTCCTCCTCTATTAATTGAAGATGTGTTAAAGATGGAGATCGAGTCAGGCCGCAGGCTGTCCAATTTTTTATCAATTACATTTCACGTTACTTGTGGATTGATACATATATGTATAAATTTGATAATTGTTTCTTTAAATATTAACAATTTTAGCTGCTTTAACCATCGAATTTTTCCTCGAGATGGCCTCTCTTCCAGGGGCTTTGTAGTCGTAGCTGTAGTCATGACTATAGGAATAACGATGGTCGACATAAAAGAGCTCGCCACATCTGTAACTAAATCCAGTCAAATCGACCTTCCTCCGACAACCAGAGCATCTATTCACCTCTCGCTTCACTAGCACAACCTCCGTCAAATCCAAATCCTCTTTCTTCAAACCCTTACTGATCTTTTAGATCCTACAACTGCCATGACCACAGTCGCAGATCATTGGCTGGAGCAACACCGCATTTAACACATAGCGTGATGGCCTCCGGTATGACCTTGAATTCCGTCTCTTCTTTCTCTATTTTTTGTGCCATAGTTGCAAAAGCAATTCAAAAATTTTTGAAAATTAACACGAAAGTCTTATAAAGAAATATTATTGATTTAAAGAAAAGAAAATGAGAGGTAGAGAGTGCAGCCACTGGCAATGCGTGACAGAGAGAGAGAGTGAGGGAGGGGGGGAGAGAAGCGAGATATAGAGAGAGAAAGGAGGGGAAATTGATTGGGGTTTGAGTTGAAAATTGTATATTTAATATTTAAATATGAAATATCTGATTTGTGAAATGTGAAACTTCTCACCTGATTTTAGAATACATATCTTTCAAAGTAGCCCGGGGTGTAATTTCCCCATTAAGTTTCTTGTTTATTAGAGTGTGTAATGTATTGAAACTCTGCATCTTGGATGTGTTTTTTGAGATGGGGTTGGTACAAGGGTGTCACTAAGTTGGGCTCTACAAAATAAGTGGTTGTGTTCATATATGTAAAAATAAAAAAACAATAATAAAACGAAATTACAAAGTGCCTTCATTTGTAAAAATAGTATAACTTATTGTAAATTGTAAGTTTATTAATGATTGACAATTGCACCCCTACAGCATTAGAAATTATTATCATTGTATCCCTAATCCTTCCCTATAAATATAAAGCTTTGGTCCATTACAATACACACAAGTCTATTGACTTTTATTCTCTCTTCTCCTTTTCTCTCTTTTTTTATAACACGTTATTAGCACGAACGTTTAATTCTTCAAAGTCTAATGAAGGTAGTCATTTTTTTAAACAAAATTATCTATTATGTGTACCAAAATTAATTTGGTGACATGTGATTTTTTTATACACATGCATATAGCATGTCAATTTGTGTATATTTGAACTTTCTGCTGTAATCTATCAATATTTGCATTCAATCTATGATGTTAACAATTACTTTATGAAGTTTTGGCCTATTCATACTCAATCGTTTGTAACAAAATTTGTATAAATTTATGCCACAATCGTTGTGTTTGGCAATTAATGTTTATATATAAATTTATATCATTTTTATATGGTAATTAATATTTTTAATCTTGTTAAATACTTTTAAATGTTCTACAAATTTTAAATTAATAAATTATCATGTTGTTGTTTCTGAAGTCGAACAATATTATAATTAATATTTTAGATAACAATTTTTGTTCTGGAGTTTACATATACTCATCATTTTGTTATAATAGAAATCGAGCAGGATTTTTTTATTGAAAAAATCAATATTGATTAGTTTTGTGTCAATATGTATTTTATAATGTCATTAGGAAAACACAATTTGGAGATCCGTCGAATAAGATCCTTCTCCTTCCTTTTTTTCGAAAGAAAAGGAAGATCTGAAATGAAATGGAAGAAATCTGAGTGAATGGAAAGGAAAAAACATAGGATGAATTTCACTTTTCGATTAACGGAGATGGGCTCTAAAAAAAGCTCAGTTTATGAAGAAAGGAAGGGATAGATTGTATTTTTCGTTGGGGATTTCTTGAAAAAAATCATCACATATTTATCCGATTCCTTATAAAAGATATTCAGTCCGTTAGAATAGAAGTTAAAGATAGTGTTTATGCTCGTCGTGTCCTTTTATCCATACGACTTTGATAAACTCTATTCCGCCATTGTTGTGGTATTAATCTAGACCATCTGATCTGCGATAAGTCGTATTGATAATGCCCTCTTATCCAGTTTTTCCATTTATTCATTTCAAAACTCGGAATTCTGTTATCCCTTAGTTTAGAATGAATTATTCCTTTTGTTTCAAAAGAGTCCTTTACGTAAAAAGGAAATAAATAAATCATTCAAAATCCGGCAGGCATCATGAAGTGCTTCTTTTGGAGTTAAAACTCCCATTTGTCCATATTTCGAGAAAGAGTATCTCTTGTTTTTCATTCCCATTTCGTTGGGCAAGATGCCTAATATTTATAACACTCCGATAGTTAAAGGTCAAGATACTATCTGTCGAGTAATTAATGTGACTTGTGAGGTATAGCAATTATTAGGAAATAATTGAGTTAGAGCTATAGCTATGAGTGTACTTGTAGGTTACTTCAGTACTGTAGCGCCTAGTGCTCGAACACTGGGTCGAGGCATTTTCTCTATCGTTTTTACCTTGACAAAGTAGGGGCACCTTACGTTCTTGAACAGATAACCAACTTTCGGCTAACCTAGATATCTATGTAACAATTTCTGTTCTGGAGTTTACATATACTCATCTATTTAGTTATAATAGAAATTGATAAGGATTTTTCGAATGAAAAAATCAATATTGATTAATTCAGTCTCAATTTGTATTTTATAATATGATTAGGAAAACACTTGCTCGAGTCGGATGATAAAAAATTATCATGTCTGGTTCCTTCGGGGGATGGATCTATAAGAATTCATCTATCCCAATAACAAAAATAAAATAAAATAAACCTAATTTGAATGATCCTGTATTAAGAACTAAATTGCCTAATTTTTTCAATCAAAAAATCTTTATCAATTTCTATTTTAACAAAACAGATGAGTATATGTAAACCCCTTAACAAAAATTGTTACACATATATCTATTATTTAGATATGTTGTCGATAGGGAATTATCAGAAAATTATCTCACTTCCATTTGCATTGAATAGAAATTTTGTTTTTCGACTATTGATAAGAGGACCACGAGCACTTCTTAGAATTTCAAAAAGGAAGAGTAAACCTCACCGATTTTTAACGCCTGAACCATAAGTGAATGTATAACCTATAGAAAAATGGGCTAATCCAACCAATCTTGCTTGAACAATGGAAAGAGCCACAGGTTTATCTCTCCATCGGATCAAATTGGCCAAAAGTGTGTGTTCATGAGCCGATGCTAAAGTTTCAATCAATACCTGCCAATATCCATGCCAGGAAATTAAGAACATAAATCCAGTAGCCCAAACAAGATGTCCAAATAAGAACATCCATGCCCAGACCGATAAACTATTCATACTAAAAGTGTAGCATGTCTGAATCTAACTAGGATTCGCGACGGAGGAGGAACTTGATCGAAAAAAAGAAGAATTCTAGTTTTACCAAAAATACCTTAACTACAGGCTCAATATACATATTTGATACTAATTATCCCGATGTTCACATTGTGCTTTGCTATTCTGTGAATTTAGTTAACAACTATATATTTCGAGAAGATTTAATCCCTGTTTGGGCCCCATTTTAATTCTCATTCTCGTTCTCTCTCTCTCTCTTATTTTCAACTACACAATCTTCTATAAAATAATATTATACTCAAATAAAAAACTTTTCATTCTTTTTCGACCACACATTATTCAAAAAAAAAAAAAAAACTATTCCCACCATTAAAATTTGGCAAGAATGGGGGCCAAACGGGGGCTTATTAATATTGTTCTTATTTTACTATCATTTTAGTAATTTCAGTTAACTTATCCTTATGTTCATTTATTTTGCTATTATGTGACCTGAGATAATAAATACGTATTTAAGAGACTCACTTAAAGATTTATTACTGTTGTTATTATTTTAGCAATTTTGGTTAACTTATTCATACGTTCTTTGTAGTTTTTCATTCCGTGAATTGAGTTTATAAGTCGTGAATGACTTAAAGATTTATTAATATAATAAGCAACTGAACAATTCCAAACACTCACTGGCCTATATTTCCACTTCAACTTATATCCCCACCCATATTCTCCCACCTCTTTCCTTGTCAAACACAGGTATCAAGCCCTGGCCTACTGTTGGACATGTTATGACGTTGAATTGCAAGCATGTGTAAGACACATAATTACAAAATAAGGAGTCGAATGTTATCCAATTGTCATATTATTTTCAACCGCCAAATTGAATGGCACAGGGTGCAAACTTGACTTAAACAATTAGCTAAGTAAAGAACAGATTTCAAATCCCATCTTAGCACAGCTAATACTAATTTCAGTGTGACATCATATTTGGCATCTAATACCAAGGCAAATGCTTAGAACAACATTAACGATATAATCCAATTTAAACAACATTATACTTTATCTTAAAAAGTTATAATCAAGGCAAATGCTTAAAAATGCTCCTATACACAGACATACACCAAAAATGGGTGAAACAATTTTGCCGAGTTGACGTGAAGTAACCAAAAGTTCTCCATCATTGCATCTATTTTCTGCAATATTGACTTCACATGAAGTTTCTAATTGGTTTTCCTTTTGATTTGCAGCAGCTAAATTTTCATTCTTCTACAACTTATAACAATTATTTCTTATTTGCCCCGTCCCTTGCAATAATTGCATACTTTATTACTATAATTAGACCTTAATCTATCCCTCGTATAATCACCATCAACAACAAGGTTATCTCTATGAACCTCGGATTCAACAAGATACTTTATCTTCTTCTTTGAGAATAGACACAATCTTATTCAACAAGGATTGATTTAATATATGTTGTACACCACGATCCATAACATATTAGGAATAAAACATAATGAATAGTTTAATATAAGGTGAAGTCTCAATATAATATGTAAAACTAATAATTGGATATTGGGATAAAATAGGTGTAAAACATTGCCAAAAATGCAAATAGAAACTAATTGCAACTTGGATTCCTTCAAGACCTCTTCAAGTCTACTATCAATTCCAAATTGAATTCCAACTTAAATTTCCAAATGGAGTTCAACTAAAATTCCCAATTGGATTTCAAATAAAATTCTCAAATAGACTTTCAAATAAAATTTGGATCACACCCTAATTCCAACAAAAATTATCATAAATCTTTTCTTTTTGTTAGATAAAAATCTTAACTTTAAGATTAATTTTAAACGGAGGTGGGTAGAACCATTAGCACCTGGTAACACCTTTAACAACTCTATTATCACCATTGTCCAGCCATGAATCTGCTGTGATAATATATCTTTTTAGGCTCTGATAGCACTTAATGTCAGCTAACCCTTAAACAAGTGAAGTAACTAAGATTAAAATACTCCAACACAGTTGGAGCCAAGCTTTCTGAAGGAAAAGTTGGAAAAAGCCTTTAAGAGGGTTCTAGACAAACTTTCAATAATATTGATGATAAAAACTGATTACAAAGCTGGGTTCTTGACTCTATTTAAAGTAAAATGACTTTTTGACATCAGTAATGACTCTTAGAATACCTAAACTTCAAATAAATTAATCTAGGAAAATTAATAGACTTCTTTGACTACTTAACTTTAAAATACAATTAATTGAAACAAGGACTTTGCATAAAACTAGACAATGACGCTTTGATACTTTGACTAAGACTAAAATTAATTTGCATCATATCATTTCCAAGTCTCCGAGAATTTTGCAATGATTGTTCCCACTTGGAAGGATTTCAAAAGTTCTATTTTGATCACTTTCAATTTGTTGACAAGCAC